ACGACGCACAAATAATATAGCTAACGCATTATGACCCATAATTATAATCGTATAAAGAATGAAAGGTCATTGGGATGAATTATGAATTTTTACGTCATTTATAATCCACTGTAAGAATAATGGAAAAGGTAGTGAATCGTATGCTAGACTAATTTTGCTCTTGTTTTGCTTTTTTTTTTTTTTTTTTTTAAATACAAATTTTTTAGATTCAAGAAAAAAAAATCCAAGAATTTCATGACGTTAAAAAAAATACTTTCTTTTATATTACGCATAGGCGCATGTATACGTCAGCGCATAATTGGAAACGAAGGTGCATTATATAATTCGTTTGAAATTATTTACAATCTTTTCATTTCCATTGAAATTTCCTCTTTCGAGTTTAAATCTCTTCTATTGTTTCTACCGAATATTGCATTCCACTCGGTGTGTTTATCTAATTGTTTAAACCTTAAATTTATTACTTTATAATTTTTAAATTTAATACAAATAGGTTGAATCGATCAAACTCGCGTTTATAAAATCTTGATCGATACTCGAAACTATGTTGAATGAAAATCCTTCTAATGAAAATAAAAAAGAAATTTGTTGCAACTCATTGTTTTCTTTTAGGATAAATTTAGGAAATAATCTTTGATTTTTTTAGCACAATTCATGACAGACAAAAATAAATTGTCGTATGTACGTAGTTAAACAGACTTCAATAGTATGGCCTAAATAAATACTATTTTTAGAATAATATATTTATTTGGAATCTTTATAGTAAATTCGATAGAAAATGGTGGGTAAGAATTTTGCAATAATAAATGAATAAATTTGAAAGAATAGTTTATATATAAATCATTATTATCGTCTCTCTCTCTCTCTCTCTCTCTCTCTCTATATATATATATATATATATATATATATATATATATATATATATATTTATATCTTCGGTCAGGTAGACAGACAGGTAGACATATAAGTGAAGAGAGAGAGAGAGAGAGAGAGAGAGAGAGAGGGGGCAGTGGAAGGACGGAAGAAGAAATAGACAGTGGATTTGTTATTTTACGATGTTTATATACAAATATATATATATATATATATATGTATATATGTATATGTACACGCGCGTACATATATATGAATTAGTCAATATTTGTTTTCGGTTATCGAATGTATGTATCATACACCATGAATGAGTTACAATGCTGACCTAGATAATTCCTAGGAATGATTATAATTCTGTTGTTTCGTGATACGCAGTCAGCTGTTACAAAGGCATTTAATCCCTCCATACTTCTAATGAAATCAACACGAGTAGTCGCGTGCGCGCACAAGCAGCTGTTCTTATCTAAAATTGATCCCATTAAAATGAAAGGATGAGCTCTTGTGGTTCCATCGAGTATTCTAAAACGATTTTTTAATTTGTAATTTTATCGCGTCATTGTTGTTTAATATTATTATGTATATAAAATTTATTTAGTTGATAGTTATTATTATCAAATATAATGTTTTTAATGTTAACTGTAGCAAATGTAATTGAAAATTTCTGTTAACATTCAATAATGGTATTATGGTGATGTAGACATAAAAATACAATTTATCATATATTCATGTTCTACGAAAGAATTTTTACGAACTTTTCAGATAATAATCACGAGGCTTTAGTCTTACGATTTTGCACTTTAAGGGCCTTTCCATGATTTTAAATTGTAATTGATGTTGTACTTAGAGTTTACGCTAGTAAACTGTCCACGGTATTTAATACTTGAGATTAACGCGATGACAACTGTATTTGGCATTTGTTATTTAACATGCACGATTAGACAAAAAAAGGATTTATATATTTACGTAGATATAATAACATAGGATGTCTTATTATTTATTATTTAGTGCATATAAGACACATAATGTATATTAGATTGTTTTTTTTTTTTTTTTTTTTTTTTTTTTTAAAAAAAAAAATCTAGATTCAAGATTCAATTAGATACGTAATTTATTTTAAGACTTTTTAATGAATTTATATTAAATGCATTCACATTCCATTCCTAAATATTGATTTAATTTTAATAGAACAATTGATTACAATATACATTTCCGATATTTTTCACCTCATTCTAATTATCATAATGGTTACGTTCACTAATTACGTTCACGTCCTCTTCCGTTTTTGCATTTTCTTCTTCAATGCTTCTCTGGCTGTTACTATTGCCATTGTTGTCGTTGATATTGTTGTTGTATATTAATTTAATTTATTATGTGCTATGCACATATCAAAAGAATAAAGTTTTGTGTGAAACAGTGTCATGCAGAACGGCGAGTCTATTTCATGACTTTAAAATTAACGTCAAAGCTTGAGTTTGCTAATCGATAAATTAATTAAAATGTGAAGCTGTATAATTGTTATATTAATCGCTAATAAAAATACATATTCTACTTCATTGGCAGTCTTTTGCTTTAGAAGCGAGAGTAGCCTCTCTTGGGTAAAGAAAAACAATAAGGGAATAGAGGTCGATGAGTTAAAATTTCCTCTGTAATTCATCAAGGCAGTATTTGCTGCTTGCACGAGCGAAAAGTTATTGGTATTTGTTTAATAAAATTAATTAAAAGATGTATGAAAAATCCATCTAATAATTTTTTTATTTACGTTTACGCTTTTGGTGCTTTTCTTTTTCTTTTTTTTTCTTTTTTTTTCTTTTTTTTCTTTTTTTTCTTCTTTTTTTCATTATAAGCTACGTATATAAAAATAATTATATATATATATATATATATATATATAAATATGAATTATTTTTATTGCAAATGGTCGAAATGTTTATGAGACAATGCAATATAATAATTATTTGTGAATAGGTATTCAAAATTCTTATATAAATCTCAGGCAATTCCTAAAGCCTTTTCGCTTACTTTTATTTATATAATAATAATCTTATTGCTTATTTTTATTCGGAGATTCGTTAAGTTTTAAGATTAAAAAAGGTAATTTAGAAAAAAAAAAACCATAAGGCCACACTATAAGAGTTGACCTCATTAATTTTAAACTTCATGTAGAGCTACGAGTACATTAATAATTGTTAAATTTCTTAATAA